ATTCTTTCTGCAGCCTTTCTACTGCTACTCCTTCGCTTCTTCTTACTACTGTCTTTCAGCCACACCCCTGATCTTCTGGTAGGAAAGATCTACACCTAGCCTTCTCGGACAAAGGCGAAAAATCTCGGAAAGCCCGTGTGCAAGTAGCCTCATCGACACAATTTTGATCTTCTAAAAGCTGGCTTCGACCCAGTCCCCACTTGAGAATCGAACTCAGGTCTTCTCTGTGCGATTAAGAAGCGCATAGGTCCGTCACCAAAGGAGCCAGTTAACTGTTTTGAAAGAGAAGGGCTATGATAGTAATAAAGTAATTTTTAAAGTTTACGTCTACTTTGTCTTTGATAGGTCGTGTCTTAGTACTTAGTGATGTAAAAACGCTTGCATACCTAAGACAATAGGGTAAAAGCACGAATTTAATTAAAACAAACAAAATAATTGTTTTAGAAAGCTACGTGTACACACTTCAAGTGCGTTCAACAACGAAAGTCTCAAATTCGAGTCGGCGGTTGGCGGGTGCTCTGGTGTGGCTTCTTCCTTCTTTCCCATCAAACACCTATCGTCCTGATCTCTCCCCCTTCTCTATTGTGGTTGTCACTCTTTTGAAGCACCTCTAATCTTCGACACTTATATCTGACCGTATTGTTTTACAAATTTCTTAAAACTCTTATTAAGAATCTCAAACTCGGTACCCACCGTCAAAGTCGCTGGCTGCAACAGCCAGGCACACGATCATGGCGAGAAGAAAAAGTTTGGTGAACATGTTGACTGCTTTTTCTTCGTTTTGCTGTTGTTGCTCACAGATCTTTGACTTCGAGGAGACTGACAACTCGAGGTAGAACAGTGCGGGTCTTTATACTATCAAACCCCACGTGGTACTCTTCGTGATTTTAGAGAAGATCTGTGCCTTATCTGTGGGCTGCAATTCTGTTACAAAATCACTTCAGATCAGAAACCTACTTCGTAATCGTTCTAATTCTGACTTCACGTGTCAGGCCATGCTTTTGTGAATATGAGGAAGCATAAACTTGTTTTCAATTTTTACTAGTCTGACTAAAATGCACCCTCCCCCTTAAACACACGCACACACACACACACACACACACACACTCACACACACACACAAACAATCGCCACCACAAGTATGGTCCAAGGGTGCAGAAAATCAATTACTGCTACTGTTCATTACTTTGGTAAGATGGACGCTGACAAAATTTCCTATAGCCAGACGTAGGTCTTATGGATTTGAAATGGGACTCCTGTGAAATAGCCTACTGACCGTGTTTCATTGTCACACAAATACCCTCCCCGCCCCC